TTGTATAAAGAAAAAATGGAGTCTTAGAGTTCTACAAGATAAAAACAAGTATAGAAAGATGTGAAAAAATGGGAATTCCAAATGGAGAGGGGACAAAGGCATAGAAGAAATATATAAATAAAAATTGGAAAAACTTCCAAAATTTGATGTAAAAAAAATTGTACATCAAAAAATCTCAACATACTCCAAGTAGGATAAATTTAAATATCTACGCCTAGACACTACATGATCATGCTGCTCAAAAACAAAGATAGAGAATTTTGAAAACAGGAAAATATAAATGATTGATCATATAAAAGAAATTTTGAAGAAGATTAAAAACTTAGAGCTAGAGGTGTAGCTCACTGGGAGAGAATATGCTTAGCATAAATGAAAAATAAATCTAGACACTTTCAGATAAAACAGAGAGATTCTGTCACTAACAATCTTTCCATAGAAGAAATACTAAGGGGAATGCTTCAAACTGAAATGGAGGGACATAGGGCAGGAAGTCTATTCCACATGAGGAAATAGAATATTGATAAAGGCAACTATAAAAATAAATATGAAAGATAGTTTAAATGTAGACTTTTGTTTGAAAAGATTGCTTTTTCTTGTGATTTAAAAGATAATTGCATAATCAATAATTTTAAATCTCTGTTGTTTGGAACACAATATATAAAGATGTAATTTTTATAACAACAGTACGAGGCAGAAATGTAGCTATAGATAAGTTTTGTAAATCATCGAAATTAAATTAACCCAAAATAGACTCTTATAAATTAAGATGATAACTGTAAATCTAAGGAAACCACTTGAAAACAATGAAAAAAATACATTTTAAAAATAGTCTGCTGGCTTCCATTTAAGGAGTTTTGGAGTTGACACTTGACACTTGACTCTAACAACAATCATAAAGATGAACCATAGGAAGAATCAACAACTCTTCCTAGATCTGAGTTGAAGACATAGGCAGATAGTGAAAAATCACAACTTACCAGGGCAGAAACTTGCAAATAAAATCCTCCAGGGGAACAAGTATTGGGGGGGGGGGGGGGCTCAACAAAAAAATGTAAAAAACAGGAGAGTCAGAGGAGCAAACCTCAGAGTTAAAAACTTGAGGGGACCTAGTCACAGGAGGACCTTTATACTTTCATAACTTTTACTGCCCAGTAAAAAAAACTTGACCAGACTCTCATAGTGAATATCAGAGGAAATGTCCCCTCGTGATTCTAGCAGGAGAGAGGGTAAAGGAACCATTTTGAAATACATTAGAGCATTCTGTTTTAACAAGACATGCCCTTAAGAAAAACTACTTTACCAACTACTAAACAACTGGCGTTTTATCGCGTCTTATCTGACTGGGTGAAGAACAATAACAACAATACCCAGATCCAATCTACTCTGGTCCTCCACTCTAGGGGAAGAAAATACCCACCTCCACCCCATTCTACTACGCATCCTATCCCAAGGTAAGTGACAACAAGCATTTGCAAAGTTCACATTTCAAAGGTGCACACTCAATGAAAGAATGAGCCCTCATCATAGAACCCTAGAATGCTACTCCTCACCCTACACATTACCACCACTTTACTTACAGCCTTTACTATAGTTCTTTGTACCCAACATGTCATATCTGGCTATAAAGTAAAAAATAAATAAATAAAATATATTACAAGGTATTCTAAAAAGCAAAAACACACTTTTGAAGATCCAAAACAAACTTGAGAATCAGACTCAAATTTGGTAGGCATATTATACTTATCGGACCAAGAATTTATGATTAATATGTCACTAATGGATCTAAAGGATAAAGTACAGAGCATGTGAAAACAGATGAGCAATGTAAGCAGATAGACATTCTAGGAAATTATTTAAATGCTAGGAATCAATAATGATGCAACATAAATAGAAAATGTTGATGGGGTGATTGGTAGACTTGACAGGATCAAGCGAAGAAAGAATCACTGAGCCCAAGGATATGTCAATAGAAATTTCCAAGACAGAAAAACAAAGAGGAAAACACAGGTCTACTAAAAACAACAACCACAAAATCCTAGAATATTTATGGACTGAGATAATAGGCAATACTTTTTAAAAGGTTGTAAAATATTATTATTGGGAATACCAGAGGGAAAGACAGAGAAAAGAATAGAAATAATATTTGAAGCAATAATGACTGAAAACTTACACCAAACCAGATTCAGAAAGCTCAGAAAACATCAAGAGGGTAAATGCTGAAAAAAAATGGACCCCCCAAATTAACATCATACTCAAACTTCAGAAAATCAAATAATGGACATTTATGTACTATTTCAACCAACACTGTAGGTCATCCATTCTTCACAGGTTCATATGGATATTCACAATATAAACCACATTGTGAGCCATAAAATATTTCTTAACTAATTTAAAAAAAATAAAAATCTTAATATGTCAGCTCTTACACTATGATAGAATTAAAACAGACACCAATAATAGAAAGACAGCTAGAAAATCTCCAAAAACTTGGATATTGAACAGCATATTTCTAAATAGCAAATGAATTAAAGTAGAAAGCTTAAGATAAATTAAAAAAATATTTTAAACTGAATGAGAACAAAGACATAACATCAAAATCTGTGATCCTGTAACAGATATTCTTCAGGGGAAATTTATGGCATTTTATGCACATATTAGAGAAGGATAAAGACAGAAAAAGTTTCTACCTTAAGAAATTGGAGGTGGGAGGTACTGGGCGTGGTGGTGCATGCCTATAATCCCAGAAACTCCAGAGGATTGCAAGAAAAGCTGACAAAATTGAATGGGAAAATGCGCAACTCAAAGTAAGAATTGGAAAATTTAATACTCTGCTTTCAATCTTGCATAGAACTAGAGAGCACATTCACCAGGAAATAAATTACTTGAATAACACTATAAACAAACAGATATCTTTAGAACATTCCATTCAAAGATAGTAAAATGCACTTTCTTTTTAGGTTTATATGGAACATTGTTCAGTATCAGCCATTTTTTTTGCTATAAAATAAGTTGTAATGCATTTTGAAAAACTGAATCACATGAAATATATCTTCTGGTAACAGAATGATATTAGAAATTAACAAAAGAAAATTAAGAGAATTGGGCAAATAAGGCAAGATGTTTTAAAATAACACTGACTTTTTGAAATTTAAAATCTAAATGGAGTTTAAATTGAAAGTTTTAAATAAAAAAAAAAAAAAAAAAAAAAAAAATAGAAAAAGATTTTGCTACTGTTAAGATTTATTAAAAATATTAATGGCCTTATTTTTATCATTCTCCTTAGTGCTATTGTAGAATTACTTCTTTATTTCAGATCATTTTCAACACCACCCAGAAGTTCTCTTGGAAAACAAAACATTTTCTGATCATCACCAATAACTGTATTCCTCTATTTTAATCCTGAGTCTTTCAGTAAAATTAGTTTGTAAAGATATTTAATTTATTTTTCTTAAATGATGAAAACTATCACTCCAACTGAAAGTTAAAAGGATTTTTCAAAATAGCAACTTCCCACTTAGACTTTAACCAAAAGTTAGGTTTTTTTCACTATTCTAATAAAAAAAAAAACTTTCTACAGAAGATTTTAGTCATTTTAATTAAGTACATTTTTATTATGTACATTTTATCCTTAACACTGTGGAGATTATATCTATAAATAAGATTCAGCTTTAACCCTTTGCAACCTTATTATCTATTAAGTAGGTAGTGTTAGTCACACAGCATGCAGATAGCTTCAATTACATGCAAAATGCAATACATACAATAATTAAGACATGCAAAACAAAAATGATTCAAAAAAGGAGTTGTTACATCTAATTAGAGTACTTAGGAATGGTTTCTTATAAAGCAATGGTTCTCAACTTTGGCTATCCATGAGTGTCACCCTGGGAAATTTAAGAAATCTTGATGACCATGAAACCTTCATGACCAGTCAAATAAATAGAATGTCTTATACAAACGACCTAATCATCAGGAATTTTTAAATCTCCTAGGTGATTCCAATGTGCAGCCAATTTTAGAACCATTGTTGCACATGACAGTGATAAGGAATAGTTAGACTTGAACAATGGGTTAGGTTTCAAGTGAAAGGGATAGGATATGAGAGCACCTGAAGAAATCCCCTTCTAGAAAACAGCTACTTTACTTTCATTTTTCAAACATCAGCTCAATTATAACACTCCCTGCAAAGTTTTCCGGAATTCCTCAATGATAGCAATAATAATCTTAATAATGGTAATAAAAGTTGAAGCTTTTTTTATGGCCCGTGCTATATGCCAGCTATCAACCCAAGTACTTTAAATATATTTTAATATTAGTCCTCCCACAACACCAGGAGACAGATAATAGTACTATTCCCATTCTGCATGAAAGGAATAAAAATATCTTGTCAAGGTTACATGACTGAAAAGTGGCATAGAGTTGAGACTGAAATTGATTCCAGAATCCATGTCTGAAACAGGACCAACTGCAGTCTGGTGCTCTTTATAAAGCCTCCCATAGAGCCCAGGTATACTTCAATCATACTATGAAGCACATAACACCAAAAATACTTTCATGTTTTCAATTCCACTACTCTTTATTTATTCAATATACAGTTATTGAGCATTTTCTTGTTTTCAAAAAGGGCATTTTGTACATGAAATATAATGTCATATATATGTCAAAGAATCTGTGAAGGAATTTTAGTCTAGAGTAGAGATCTGCAAATTATAGGCTAAAACCTAATGGCCACATGCTTTGTAAATAAAGATTCATGGAGCCACAACCACAGTCATTGGCTTATATATAATCTACAGCTATCTGTGTAACATTAGAGTGCAATGTTTTCTATTTGTCCTTAAATTGATTGAATTAAAAGAATTCTATTTTTTTTTTTTAAGAACAGTTGTAGAGTGGGGCGGGGGGAGCTATCTTTTTTTTTTTTTTAATTGTTTTTAGAGATGTACATAACTATTAACAATATAGTTTTACAAATGTGAAGTGGTTACAACACAGTATACCTGGAAAATTCATAGGCAGTTCAAATGGTTCTGGAGACACACAACCTTCAGTATTCTCACAAATTTCAGCTATAATCTTCTTAATTTTGAGACCAGTGATTTTAATCACTTCTCCTGTTGACAAACAGCATTCATTTCCAAACATTTCATAAACAGAGCCTGAAAGGAAAGAAAAGTAAAAGCAGATTTTAAAAAGGAATTAAACAGTGAAGGACAAAGTCATCGGAGTAAAAAGCCTCATGTGAAGTGTCTTTGCTTAGTTCCTCTCTTAGTTCCCTACTAAACAGGAGTTTAATCAAGCCTAGCAAAATGTACACCATGTACCAGGAAACATATTAGATTTTCACTCTATCCACTGGCAAAGTGTAAACAATCTTGTTTTTGCATTATTATAAATTGAATTTGTGGTTTCCTCAGCACTTTTAGCTCATCTTTCCAAGGTCAAAACAACAAACAGGCCTTCCACTGATGGGACTTATGATCTATTTTTTCTAAGTCACAGAATTAGGCTCAGGCGAGTCAACAATGATTTAAGTAAGTAATGCAAACAGGGTCGTAACACAATCCAAGATCCAAAGGCGGGTCTGTTCCCCAGGGAAGAAGAGCACCATATCTATTTGTTAGATCTGCTCCTCTTCATTATTGTGAATATAAGACTATTTGCCCATTTTTATCTGATAGGTTTTGATAAGCTGGAAACAATACCTTTATGGCAACAGGGGGCAGACCAGCCCAGATAAACTGAAAAGCTTCACTGTGATTCAGGATTTTCAGTATCCTTCCTGACAAACCTTTCATCATAGATTCTAAAGTTAAGCTTTTCATTCATTTTCCTTGTTTGGTCCTCTGATGAAAGGACAAGGGGCAGTGAAATAACCAAAGAATAAGCAACGGGAAAGTGGAGAGGCAGAAAGGCCGAACAATCTACCCCTAGTGAAAAGAAAACAACCCAAAACCACAATTCTGGCGTGCTACTGCACTACAATTATGAAGTAAAAACGGCTGATGTAAGTAAACATTGAGGAGCCAAAGCTTTATTTAAATAGAATATTAATGTGTTCGAACCTTTGAGATAGTTCATAGCCTCTTAATCACACTAAATTTAAAGTATTCGAGGACAAAGTTTTAGGTTTGCTTGATTTCTGATTTTTTTTTTTTTTATATTGAATACTCCTTCACAGACCCTGCCTGACCTGATATATAGTAAGAACTTGGAAACACTTTTATGGCATTAATGGTTCTCATAAAAGTTATTAAGCCTGGCATTCAATCTAGCTCTACAATCCAACTCTTCAATTACATCGGAGTCCCACCAGGTAAAGGGACACACTCAAATTAAAACAATTTAAGAAGGTTTAACATATGGGCTATTTGCATAGAGGTACAGCCAGCCCCAGGCAACCTAAGAAAATTGATGTCTGATCTCATTCTCCTTCCAGGTACCTTACTAGCCAATTTCCTCCAGAAACCAAAGGACTAGGGAGCTGCTAATAGTCCCATAAATGTCCACCATCCAGACAGGGTGGAAATGACCTCAGTACATCAACATTACTGTCCCTTAGCTAATGAAGAGTAATTTTGTAAGCTAGTGTGTATCTGTTCCTCAAGCTATCAGTATGTACTTCAACAACACCTTTTTTTTTTCTCATATTATTTCCTTAACTAGTTAAATTCTCATACTTTTTAAAAACTGTAATACATAGAATCATCAGCAGTCTCAAGTCCTTTGTGGAACAAATTGAGGCATCCAAATAAACAATAAATAATCCACAATGACATTTCCTCCAATAAACTTAGAAAAGCTGTTTGCTATAATCCTCATCAATTATTACATAGTAACATTTTAAATCTTAAGTATTATTTCACCCTGTATTTAACTTTTTGTGAATTTAGTTTTTATTACTTCCAATTTAATTTTAAACTTCATGAGAGAAAATATTGCATTGTATTAATGTGTGACTATAACATATCAATCTCCTTTCTCCACTGAGTCCTCAAACATAAGAGAATGGCTACTACAGTGTTGGGAGCTACTCTGGAAAGGAGCTATGTACACACTTTTAAGTCCCGGGTAAAGAGGTACTGCACTGGTGTTGCACACATTGCAATGCAATTGGACCTTACCTCCACTTGGATAAGAAAGATGCATCACTCAATGGGGTTGGATTACAACCACTTGTTTGTTGTAACCCTACCCCTTGCCTCGTTTGAATGGCTTCTCCCCAATAAAACCTGGGTTTGAGGCATGCTCCCTCTCTTTTTTGCCTGCCTTGCCCGCCTTGTGGGAGCTGTGGCTGAGGAGCAGTCACTGATCCCAAAGAAAAAGATATTTTCTGTGTCTGTGTCTTTATTTAGTTAGCCCAAATTCATTTGGAGTGACCATGTTGATTTAGTCATATGATGCTGCACTATGGGTCCAGCAGTGTGTTTGGCAGTATGTGTCAGATAAAATGCAGTCTTTTTCACCAGAAGCTCTGCTTAGAAGAAGATGGCCAAGTACTGTAAACATCTGCAACAGATTATGAGAAAGTTGTAATGCAGGAAATACAGGACATTGTGGGAGCATATGATAGGTGTTTAATTAGCAATTGCATGGGGAAAACATTAAAGGAGAATTCCTAAAGGAGAGGAGAGCTGAGCTGTATTTTAAAGGATGCATCACAAGATCATAGGACAGGTAGAGGGAACAGTATTTGAAAAGGCACTGACATGTGAAAGAGCCTGACACATTCTTGAAATTTCAAGTAGTTTGTTATGTCTAAACTGTAAGGTAATAAAAGGGAAGTGGTTAAAAACAGAGGCTAGAGAAGAACATAGAGGGAGTTCAGACTGTGAATTCTTTCAAATCAAAATTATATAGGGGAGATCAGTGGAGTAGAAGAAAGATTGAGAGTAAGAGAGGAAGGATGGGAAAGAGGAGGAAATATGGAATAGACTTAATAAAATTACATCATATGCACATACAAATGGACCACAGGGAATTTCACTTTCATGTATATATAGAAAGTACCAACAAAAAATAAATTTAAAAACAAGTAAAAGGAATATGAATAAAGGGAGAGAGAATAGGGGAAAGGGAAAGTGGGGTTGGGGTGGGGAATAAGGATTGAAATAAAATTCCATGCAGGTATGATTTTGTCAAAATGAACTCAATTACTATGCATAACTAGTAAGAAAAATGCTCTTAAAAAATTGAAGAGTTGGGCTGGGGATGTGGCTCAAGTGGTAGCGCGCTCACCTGGCATGCACAGGGCGCTGGGTTCGATCCTCAGCACCACATAAAAATAAAATAAAGATGTTGTATCCACCGAAAACTAAAAAATAAATATTAAAACTCTCTCTCTCTCTCTCTCTCAAAAAAAAAAAAAAAATGGAAGAGTCATTTGAAGTCTGAAGCATCCTGAAAGGCAGACAATCTTCATCTCCAGTTCTAACGGTGCAAGAACAAATTCCAATTTAATAAGAGGTCATTTGTACTCTAGACATTTGCTATCCAGAGTTTGGTTCACTGTGTCACCTTGTTTCACCTGGGAGCTTGTTAGGATCTTACCCAGACTTCAGATCTGCTGAATCAGAACCTGCATTTTTAACAAGATCCTCAAGTGATGTATAAGTACATTAAGTTTGTAAAGCATTGGTATAGGCAACAAAAGCTTAGCTGAATTTGTTACAAAACTAGAGATTGTTACAAAACTAGACAGAGAGAGGAGGACATGGCACACAGAGAAAACCTCTGGTATTATTAAGGTGAAAGATTGTAAGTGGGGACAAGGGAAAGAAATAGAGAAGTAGCATGGTAATATTTTTCTTTGTCACCTGAAATAGAACATATTTTAACCCCCAATTTTAGCTGAAGTCTGTTGTGCTTAATTTCAGTGCGATGAGTGTCTAATTGTCAACGTAATGGATAGTCAGTGGACTGACTTGTATACCATCTCTCAAAAATTCAGCAAAAATTAAAAATGGAGTGATATATTTGCATGAGATTCTGTATTAATTCACAAGACTAGAAACCAGAAAACTCTATGAGGAGAAAATTCTGTGAGTTTTGGTCACCACATAAAATGTTTTTGACTCTTCAGTTCTCTTTTTAAACATCCCTCTCATCATCTTTCAAAAAAAAATCAATTTTTTTACGTCTTTTAAGGAAAAAAAACTTCATGCAAATTAGGTTAACATTTATAATTTCTCTTTAATATTTTGTGACTCTCAATGTTTTTCTAACCAAGAAAGCTATTAATACACTTTAATAAAGAAATGCTTAGTGATGGCCAGCATTAGAGAGTGAATGACTGTAGTACAGGTGACAAGAACATATGGCCAATCTCAAATCCCTAAAATTGGAAAGTTCCTTGTATTTTGCTATGGCCAATATAATGTCTCTTAAAATACTTTTGGCTTCAATTTTAATATAAAACGGTGAACTTTATAAATAGACATTTTCAAAATCTCAGAAAAAACACATATGTGTAATTGCTTTTTAAAATTTTTCTGAGATGTGTGTCTGAAACATGTTTGTGTATATATAGACATACATATTAAAATGGTTTTGTTTCATTTTAACCACAAGACATGTATTTTGAATATGCAAGTCTCGAATCTCTTCTATCTTTACAGACTGATTCTTTCCAAGTCAGAGCATATGTATTCAGGATAATGCCAAACATCAGAGAAAAGTGGAACAAAGCAGCCTGCTTTCAGTGATCAAACATCCCCCCTGAAGGCTGTAATGAAAGAGCCACGTGCCTTTGAAATCACCTTCTCTGTAATGCTACTTTGCTCAATAAAAACGACACATTAATATCCTTTTATGAGCTCATCCCTTGTTGGACAATCCAAATAAGCAATGCTGTGATCATATCAGAACAGCCAAAACAATTGGTTCAATAGATTTTCTTCCCCTCAAAATGAGGCAGTCAGGAAAGAGAAAACTACATTGTTCGGAGATTTTCTCCTCTTGACTCAAATATACTCTGCCCCTTCACCTTCTCCTCAACCTGTCAAAGTCCACCTAACTCTAAAGATCCAGGTCATGCTCATCTTCTTCAAAGACTTCCTTGATTCCCACACCTGTTTAACAATTAATACCCTCCTCTGTGTCCTAATAGCATTTTGTATGTATTTTTATTATAGCTCTTAATGTGTTATTATCACGACCT